ATGGATGAAGAAACGTGTCTACTTACTGTAGCTGAGAAAAGATCTTGACTTCAAGCATCAAGATACTTAGATTTATATGTTGCAAATGGAAATCTTGAGATGTTTCCTCCACTTCTTGGGCTTGGAAGTGAGAAAGGATATTAGCAAGTTTCAAGTCTAAAATAAATCCATCTGGATATATTACAGAACAAAACTGACCAATATTTTCCTTCCGAAATGTTTGACTGTGTGAGGGGCCCTTTTTCTGAGTTTTCTGCTTAGTCAAAGAACTTTACACTAAAAGAACAGGAGGAACTTCATAAAATACAGTCTGATAGTATCCTCAAGATAAGGTTTAATGACCTATCCCCTGGACAAATTTTTGGATTTCTGTGAAAGAAGAGTAGCCTGCTATTCATAAAAAAACTTTCAATATTTTGATGCAGTTTTGACTTGTGTGAGCGAGTTTTTTTTGTTTAACAAGAATTAAAAGCAAGGACCACTATCAAATAATTTCTGATCAAATTTGTGTGTACTTTTCTCAAGATATAGAATTGAGGATCTTTGAAAAAAAAAAATCCCAGGTCACACATTAAGCACTTGCTGACCGTTTGCCCACAGTGTACTGCGGATGGGCAGGCCACACAGGCAAAGTGACCTGTATGTCATTGCCTGCTTCTGGGTTTCGGGTGCATGCATGCCACCCCCCCCCCCCCCCCCGCCAACACCCATTGTGATTGTACACAGCGGGAGCCTGTCAGCAAGTTCCAGCCAATGATTCACAGCCAGGACCTGCTGAGCAGCTGTGTACAATCACAGTCCAGAGTTCTATGTTGATTATCAGAGGGAACAATCTCTCTGTTTCTCCCCCCTGCTTAGAAGAGAGATCTATTAGTAAAAGCAGCACACTTTACACATATCACACATAGTTAAACACACATTTAACCCCTTGATTGCCATATATGTTAGTCCCTTCCCAGCCAATGTCATTAGTACAATTACACTGTATAGTATTATTATTGATCATTGTATTAGTAGTCACTGGTGGTGTCAGTGGCAGTTTAACAGTTTCCCTCAGCAGCAGTTAGTGTCAGTTTGCCCGTTGCACTTTTGCAATTCCATTATATGTCGTTGATCACAGCCATTAGTAATATTAAAAAAAATCCAGTATATAAACTATAGTTTGCTGGTGCTATAACTTTCACGCAAAACAATTAATATACACTTATTTTGATTTTTTTGTTTATCAAACACATGTAGCAGAATACATTTTAGCCACAATTTATGAAGAAATATGATTTTTTTTTTGTTGGATATGTTTTGCAGCAGAAAGTATATATAAAATATATAATTTTTTTTTTTAAATTGTAGATCTTTTTTTCATTTATATATTGCAATAAATTAAATACCCATCGGTGATCAAATACCACCAAAAGAAAGCTATATTTGTGGGAAAAAAATTAAGTAAATGTTGTCTGGGTACAGAGTTGCATGACCGCCCAATTACCAGTTAAAGTTAAAATAGCAAAAAATGGCCTGGTCACGAAGCGGGTAAAATCTTCCGGTGGTTAAGGAAGTAAGTTTTAATATTTTACTATTTAGTGTTATTTCTACAAATAATTGTTGTTACATCAACTGCTCGCTGCTTACCCTAATGTTCTATGATTTGTAGCTTTGAAAATTACTTCATGGAAATCCTTAAACCAGTCTTCCCCATAGAGTATAGACATCTGATAACCTCAAACGCTCTTAGGAACTCTCATACTGCAGTTGCTACCCAAAAATTGCTACTGTTATGGTATACAGTGGGTTGATGAGCCTTTCTCAGCAAATATACCCAATAGCATGGAGGAACTGAGTACGGCATTCCCGATACTGAATATTTCATGTTGATCCATATACAGCATTTTCTGTCCTCTTCTCCCCCTCCTTCCACCTATGTCAGTAACCCAAATATATATTTTTTTCACACAAATAGAGCTTTCTTTTGATGGTATTTGATCACTAACTCTCAGTCAACTTTAATTTTTAATATGAGCTAAGGACCAAAAAAAAAATATATTATTTTGATGAAACTATGCTATATTGTATCTATATAGTGGTATAATGACATGCATTAATATTAATTAATAATAGAGAGAACTATGCATTTCAATAGCCATATGGTTTACTCACTGTGGAACCTAGGGGGTTAATCCTCTGAAATTGTGTAAAAAGGCCATTTGATCCTGTTTTATCTGCCCCTCCTCTTGTTCAGATGTCCACTTGACAAGACAGACTGAATCCATAGCCACATGCACATTCTCAGGTTAGTGTATATTGCTAGTGATGTTTTTTTCTTGGGAGAGTGCATGTGATCAACACAGGGCCAATCAGCAGTGTCCAAACAGAGGTCGGGGGTTTTTCATCCTCCTAAAGCAGAAAAAAAACTTCTCCTACAAGCTTTAACCAGTGCTCTGCTGAAGTCACAAGACTGGTCTAACTGCTGATGATAAAAGGTATTTAGCAGTTTATATTTACAAAAATAATTGCACTTCCATATTATGTGTACTGTGGAAGACCAGATAGAGTGAATGCAGGATCCTGGGTTTAGTAACACTGTAATGCATAGAATGAATTAAGGTAAAAACCTTCTGCCTTTAGAATCACTTTAAAAAAGCAATTTTAGACTGTACTACACTATTTGAGCTTTACTTATTTCATTGCCTGGTGAGGAAGATTGTGGTAAAGCATATTGTTTAACAAATAGCTGCAGACCTTTATTAAAAATAAGGTCAAAACCATACGGTGAGTTATTTGTGAATGCATTGGGAGTAAGATTGCACTGTTAAAGTCATTTGATCACTGTGGTGTTCAAAAAGATAACACTTAAGAAGACACACTGATTCTGTTTTGGCAGAGAGACTTTATTTATGTGGACAATCGTTTCTTGAGTTGGCAAATTTTCACGGTGGAAGGTCTTGCAGTTTTGTTTATGTTATGTTCGTTATCTGCACATAATGAACTGGTGTCACTTGTAGTTTGATTTTCACATAGTTTACGTGGGTTACGCTTTATTATTTATTTAATTTTTTCTGATAAATTATTTTTTTTTACCATTTATAAGTAGAGCAGAACCTGATATAATTTGATATTTACTTTTACAGATGAGGCAAAATATGGTCACTTTAGATATTTTGGATTACAGATTGAAATTGAAAGAATATTTTCAAATAATAATTAATGGCAAATGTCTTATTTGGTATGCATAAATGTTATAACATTTCATGAAAGTTACATTTTTCTTTAAAGCCACAATAATTTGTTAAAATCCCCTGCAAAAACATATTTAATACATCCTGTACCTCTCTGGTAACTGTCGAGTTCTATTTTTGCTTTATTAAAGAGCTAAGGTTGATAAAATAATCTTTATCATCCAACACATTTTGTCCTGTAGTGACTTTGGGTCTAGAGGATAAAACCACAAAGGACAGGGAAAGTCTGTCATTTGCAGATACAAATATTGGACTAACCTCCCGCTCGCCATTTTTTTTTTTTAGGGCCTTTTTTTAAGCAAATATGGGGACAGAGTTTGCTTTAAGTCTACATGTAATATTATAATTTTCAAGTGCATTATTTCCTCTTTTTCTTGTAGCAATAGTTTTGGTCTTCAAAAATCTATTGGATTCACATAGTGTAATAACCCAAAGCAATCAGTTAGAACTGGAAATAAAAAAACAATTAAAAGTAAGCAGTCTATTTAAAAAAACATTATTTGGGAAAACATCACACACATTCATGCAGGCTGGATTAATATTTCTGTAATAGAATCATTTCTATGATCGTTGTGAATATGGGGAAAATTCATTCCCTTGAATTTATGTGTGTGACATTCATCCAACGAACGTTTTCAAGATCGAAGTGTTGCAAGACTATATATTCTTTAATTAACTGTGTAGTTAATAAGCAGTGTAAAATTGTTGTTTGAGCCACTAATAAACAGTCAAAAAAGGAAGGTACTGCAACAAGCAATCATCCATAGGAAGCAATCAAATCTCATTTCACTGAAACCAGCCTAAACAAAGATGGGCTTTGACTAGTTGCAATGTGCATGTGTACAATGTGTCCATTGCTCTCTGTGCAATTTTAATCCTACCTGTGGATAAAACACATAGAATAAATCATTTGAAGAACACATGTTGAATAACAGTCTGACTTTGTAAGGAAACATCTGAATAATAGCATCAAACCATAACTGCTGAGATTTACAACAGGCCCTAGACATTCAGTAAAATATTTACAATAAAATAATATACCATCTCTATCCTATTATCTACAAGGACCACAGAGACTTTACAGTTGTCTGGAACATCAGTCTCAGAATAATTTTATTTAATCCTATCCAAATTTAGACTAATCTGCACACAGTGAAAGTTCAGTTAAATCTAAATAAAATAATTTCTATGCTTTCAGTTTTTTTAGATGATTTATATTTTCTGCTGCTTTGGAAAAATATCAAGTGTTTATGGAAATATAAAGTTTGCAAAGCAGGCTGTGGTATTTAACCACCATTTAAGACTGAATCATAGTATTAATATGCATTAACTATGTAACAATTTTTAAACTTTACCTATGACCCTATCAATTCAGCAAGTTTACTCTCTTGGAAGCATTATATACAAGTATACGCCTTTTTTGTGTCTTTTGATACTATTGTTTTCAAAAAATTTTTTTTTTCTTTTATACAAAAGGCAAAGCATATATATTTTTTTTCCAGTTTGGTCAGTTACAACACTAAAGCATCTAAAATAAAAAAAAAAATGTGCAGAGCTGCTTTTTGTGTAAACAAATTAAGTGACTCATGCATGACAAATTACTATAATGAAAACAAAAACCATAAATATTCAAATATTCTCTCAAAATTTCTTAATCCAGATCCAGGGGCAGACTGACAACTCATGGGGCCCCCGGGCAATAGGGGATCATAGGGCCCCTGTGTCCTTGCCCACACTCAAATCACACCCAAAAAAAGCCTATGAAAGGTACCAGGGGCATCTCATGGGGCCCCCTACTGACCCAAGGCCCTTGGGCAGTGCCCGAGTTCCCAAATGGTCAGTCCGCCCCCTTCCAGATCATAGTACAGACACTCCTCGCTTAACGACCTACCTGTTTAGCGACCGCTCGCACTTACGACCATCTCTTCACCGTTACGACCGTACTTTGCTAACTTTATGTTCTGTAATACAACATTCCAGTACTGTGTGTAAATTACACAACCTATGCAAATTAAGACAAGTGGAAGTTTTCAGTTTGATCTTTCTTGTTATTTTACTTATTCAGAATACTGTATTGTCAAATACTATGCATATATTGTACTACTGTATACAGTACATGCAGTTCCTCACTTAACGACCAATTCGCTTAACGACCAAGTCCTTGAAACGGAACTTGGTCGTTAAGCTAGGAGTACCTGTATTACGTACAAGTGCAGTCCAAATGTCCACAGTGCCCAAATAAATCTGTGCCACAAAGTCCAAAACTATGTGTCCAAATCAAATATGTCAAATCCTTCACCAAGTGCCAGCCAAACAGCTCACCTCCTTTGTAGACCTCTTAATGTTATAGGAGGTCTTGTCATGCATTACTGAGGTCCCAGGCAATACTCCATCTTCTTTTACAAGTGCTATTGTCTGTGACATTCTAAGGAAGCCTTTGTTGAGCATCATCTTGCAGGTTTAAGGCTCAGTTCACAATATTGCGGGCCATGTGGCCCGTGTTTGCTCGAGCATGGTAGCCCATTCATTTCAATGGGCTGATGTGTCCACATTTCCACAGAAAAAAGGTACATGCAGCTTTTTGAAAATTCAGCTCCAGGAAAACTGCATGGCCTTTTTAACAGTTTCTGCACCCGCAATTGCGTTTGTGGAATGAGATGCATGGGAGTGCCATTCAGAATGAATGGCAATCCTGCATATCTCATAAGAGCAGCAAGATTCTGCATCTGGTGGTTACAGGTGCGGGAACAGATGTAATTCCCGCAACCATTTTTTCAAATAATCCACATAGAGCGATTAGGACAGCTAGTATAGCTATAATTTCCTAGGACACTTAGATATGTAATTCATAAAAGCATTTATTGACACACTGTGATTCCAAAGTGAGATAAGTACTATGGAAAACAATCCACAGAATATGTTCATACAAAACCCCATTCAGGCATAAAATGTCTAAAATTTTGCCACAAACTGAGGTGTGTTTAGTAATACAAGCTATTAGTACATAGTGTCCATGTACTAGATGATGACAAACCAATGGTGGATCAAGCTCATGGATCACAACAATAGTGCATTACATCCGTCAGGCTAGGATGGTGGCACAAACCATTGGAATGTTGCTGGCAGTAGACCAATGGGATGGATGGCTGGATGGCCAACCGATGTGTGGAAAAAATGAAAATGCCAGCGACAGCAAACTGCTAGTGTAAACCCAGTCGTCGAAGCTGGTGTACTGGAAGTGACATCATCAACCAGGATGGAAGCCACTGACCGAAAGTTGGTGGATTGGAATGCAAGCTGGGCAGAAGACTAAATGCAGGCTTGGGCTGTTGTCATGACTATTTATTTCAGGCATGGCCCTTTGTTAAAGTGTGTCAATAAATGCTTTTGTGAATTACACTTCTAGGTGTGCTGGGGAATAATACCTATACTAGCTGTCCTAAGCGCTCTATGTGGATTTGAAAAAATATTGCATTACACCACTCCTGGTGTTATTCATCTTGGAGCTGCTGGGGTGATATACAGCACAATAGTGACAAGTTGTCAATCTGTTTCCTTCTGGGAACACTGTTCAATAGACTATGTAATGGACAATTTGTATATTATCATAATTAGCGCCTGAATTATCAGTCTAAAATTCAGGCAACCAGCCTGCATAGTGTGAACCAAGGCTAATTGTCAAAGCTTACTTGGACAAGTTGAAGTTAAAAAACTGATTAGGTACCATCTACAGCTGCACAGATACTGAGTGTTCCAGTTTTAGTAAATCTTCCACATAGCATCAGAAGTGTAAAAGGGGATCATTTCCCCTAAATCAATCATAATAACAAGACAAGAATTGTAATGAAACAGGCTTACATGTATATAGGGCAGTGAAGTAAATAAATAAATAAATAAATAAGTAAAATAAACTGTATATTAAACAATAGAACCAGATTACCAGTTAAGTGAGGGGGAAGGACTCACATGTGAAGACCAAGGTGAGGTTATAGGAGAGGAGAGCTCCTATTGTATTTAATCCATGGATCCCATTGCGACAGGAATTTAGAAAAGGAAAGAAAGGCTATGACATAGAAATATTCTAAAAGGTAGTGATTGTTGGGATTCGTAATGAGGTCTTGAATATGAGGAGGATGGGTAGATTTCTATCTTTTTGTAATGGCAAGCCTTGCTGTTATGACTTTGTGATGTATAATTGAATGGATATGACATAGCAGCAACTGTATATCTATTGCAAGAAGAGCCATATGAGGAGTAAGAGTTATCAGCAATGATGAGATGAAAGTATAAACAGCATTCCAAATTTCAGTGAGTCCAGGACATGACCACCAGATGTATAGCAGAGTCTCTTTGTGGTCACAATTAAACCAGCAATTTGCTGAATGGTCCAGGAAGAAGGAAGCAAGTCTGGAGGGGGCGTAGGAACACCAGTGAAATATCTTTTAAAAAGCTTCCCAGTGCAATAGGCAGTGAGAGAACTTTAATGGGAAATTAAACACATAGTGCCATTGATCTGATGGGATTGAAAAATGTAGAATGCATAAATGTAGAATGTAGAAATGTAGAATGTTTTTTCAGCAACTCACTGAAGTTGATTTGGCTTGAGTGTGCGGTTTAAGAAAAAGCCAATAAATAAAATAGAATCCTTTGGGCAGAGATTTTTAAGTGTTTAATAAAATTGTAACATGTCCCATATGAAGGGGGTTTTTAGACCAACAGATTTCAGAGAAAATATTGAGGTATTAAAAAAATCAGAGTGACTAATGTTATTTTGCAAGCATAGATCAGTGAACAATGTGAGTCTGTGTAGAGGTTTCCAAATGAGGTACATGTCTGCTGTTACTCAAGACTGTAAGGATAGGTCAGGGATGATGAGTTCCAACAAAGAAAGTGGGAATTTCTGAAGACGTTGCTTGGGAATACCCTTAAATATTTGTGGGATGGCAGACCAGGTTTTTAGAGTAGCTGTAACTGTGCTGAGACAAGAGTGTGTGGTTCAGGATGCAATAGTAATGCAATAGGTAGCAACTGAGCTGACATCCAGAGTGCTGCTTGCTTGATCTGTAGCCAAAAATGCGGTATGGAGGGAGTCCACCAGAATCTAGTCTAGTCTAATATGATAGCTCTATACTAGGTTTGCAATGTTAGGGGCACCTAGGCCTGTCTAGTCAGTTAGTTGGGCAATTTCCAGGTCAGAAAATGGTTTAGATAAGTCTAAAAGTAGGTCTGGTGTGAGATCAGGCAGATGAATAAAGAAAGGAATTGATGGATAGTGTCAGCAGTGAGGTGTATTTCAAAATGCAACTGATCCAATTTATATAGTTTTAAGTAAAAAGTACTAAATTGATTAGCTATGTCTAGAGGATTTTATACCTTGGCTGTATGTGAGGAATGATATTTTGTTTTGTGTCAGTTTGTGTTTATATTTCCTTGTGAGAAAAGCTCTTGGTTTGTTGTTTTGCATGTATCAGGTAGTACAAAGACATTTAATTTAAAAGTCAATAATTTTGTGAAGGTAGGTGTTCAGTGGAAGACTAAGCCAGCGCAGGTCAGTGTTGTAATGTCATGGATTTTGTTTCAAGCTTCAATCATACCAAAATGATTTAACATTTATGAAATAGTGGTATGGTAAGCTTTATTCTCTTGGGTACCAAGTTTGATAAAAAAAACCTCTCCAAATACTTTATGAATTTCAAAGTATAGCATTATCTGTAACAGATCCCAATTTTATTGAAAAAAATGTTGGATTCCTGATTTGATCTGTTTCTTATGCACCATAGATATCTAGGTGTGTAGGAATAGGGAGCATGTAATCCAAAAGAATCTGAGGCATGGTCAGATCAGATGGTTAGTCTAATTTTGCCAAAATGCATGACTTGTAACATATGTTTATGAACCAGGAAGAGATCATGTCTGGAATATAACTAGAGATGAGCGAATTATTCAAAAATTCGGTTTGGCTGATTCGCCGAATTCGCCGATTAAATTCGCTTGTGCCGAATATATTCGCTGCGAATTTAACTTATAAAAAGGGTGTTTCTAGGCTTCAGAGAGCCTTTATATTAGTGCAGAACACTGTACCTTTAATTTAAATGCCCTTGGAGTCTGCTGGGGAAGAGAAATAATACTGTCAGTCAGTATGACATGCAGATGAGTGCCGTCGATCTTAGAATCACCGCACACTTCACTCATTTGGGCAGTCACGGGGCCAAAACCAGAGTGTGGAGCCACAGTGTGTGGCGGTGGAGGCAGCAGCAATGGGAGGCCATACAGCACCCTATGACAAAATGGAACCCACCAGCAGTGTGAGGAGACCTGAAAGTGGCACATGGCAGAGTGTGGCGATGGAGACAGCAGCAATGGGAGGCCGTACAGTGACCCATGACACACTCTGGACCTGGCAGCAGCATGAGGAGGCGGTACAGGGGCCCATGACAGATTACGGGCCTGGCAGGCAGCATGCATGAGGAGTCGGTACGGGGGCCCATGGCAGATTACGGGCCTGGCAGCAGCATGAGGAGGCGGTACAGGGGCCCATGGCAGAGTGGCGGAGCGTAAGCAGCTAAAATTGAAGGCCATACAGAGGCTATGTTAAAAAAGTCCCCCCAGCAGCAGCGTGGGGAGACGACTATCAAGAGTCCAATGGCAGAGTGGCGGAGCAGAAGCAGCTTCAATTGAAGGCCATACACAGGCCTAGGTTAAAAAGCGGAAGCCGTCAGCAGCGTGAGCAGACGACAGAGACACATGGCGCAGGGTGGTGGTGGATGCAGCAGTATTCGGAAGCCAAACACAGGCCTCGGTTAAAAAGCGGAAGCCGTCAGCAGCGTGAGCAGACGACAGAGGCACA